CTAAAATTTTAGAACTTTTTATAAATGGAGTCATACAGTATTTTGTATCTGGTCCCTTTGGTCAGTGTTATGTTTGTGTAGATATAAATTGCTCACTCTCATTGCTATAAAATGTTCTTTTTATTTCTGTACTGCAGCTTATCTATTGTGTTACAGATTTTGGTTGTTTCAGTTTGTTTATTCAGTTCATTGTTATTAAGAATAATGCTATGAGCATTGTTGATTTTTTTCTTTTTTTTTCTTTCTTTTGGTGTACATAGACATGCATGGACTTAATGGGTCATGGTGCAGGTATTCAGTTGTAGGAGACAGCACAGTAAAGGGGGTTTTGCCCATTTTATTCTCATGGACAATATCTGAAAATTCTGGCTGTTTCTCGTCTTTGCCAATGTATCATATTGTCACTTATTTTAAAATTTCAAATATTGTAGAGGTTATGAGTACATCTTAGCGTGTTTTTAATTTGTACCTTTTTTTAACGATTTTATTTATTTTTATAGAGATGGGGAGGGAGGAAGAAAGAGAGGGTGAGAAACATCAAGTGTGGTTGCCTCTCACATGTTCCAACTGGGGACCCAGCCCACAACCCAGGCATGTGCCCTGACTGGAAATCGAACCAATAGCCCTTTGGTTCACAGACCAACACTTAGCCGCTGAGCTACACCAGCCAGGGCTAATTTGTACTTTATTAACTCTGAGGTTGAGTTATGTGTTTGTTGGACATTTGGAGATCTTTTGTAAAGTATCTACTAAAATTTATTGTACGTGTTTTCTACTGGATTTGGCTGTTCTTTTTCTTACTGATTTGTAGGGGGTTTCTTTGTTTGTTTTTTGTTTGTTTTACTTCTTGAGTATGAGCCCTTTGTCCGTTTATATTTATTTGGAGTATCTTCCATTTTATGAGTTGCCTTTTCATTTTTCTGGAAGGCATATAATTTGACAAATTGAGGTTGTTAATATTAATACAGTACGATACATCAATGCTTTCCTTAGGTTTACTGCCTTTTCTGTCCTATATAAGAAATGTTCTCTACCCTGTGATTCAGAAGGATATATATTCCTTATATCTTTTAGATCTGTGCTTTCTAGTACTGTAGTCACTAGCTCCATGTGGCTATTTAAATTTTAATTAATGAAATTTAAAGCTTTTTACTCACAGTAGCCACATTTCAGGTGCTTAAGTGGCCACTTGACCAGGGGCTGCCGTTTTGGACGGCACACATGCAGGCTGTCTATCGGTGCAGAAAGCTGCTTTGGACAGTGTTGTCCCAGAACCTAATTATTGAACGTTTTGTATTTACATGGAACTCGCCTGCAGTCAGTTTATGGGAGTGGTTTGTGGTAATAGGAGTCAAGGTCCATTTTGTCACGCATGAAAAGCATCCAGTGGTAAGACCCCCCCTGGCTCCATCAGCAGTGCCACTTTCATCATAATTCAGACCTATTTCTGGGCTCTGCTACATTGGGATTCTTGTCAGTCTGTGTATGAGCACCTACCACCCTGTCTGCATTACTTTGCTCTAAGGTGACATAATATCCCTTATATGTTCATGGGGTCTTTTTGCATCTCTGTGGCAATGTGTAATTTAGTTTTTGTGTACTGTATTTTCAGTGTATGCAAAGAAGCTGTGTCTCATCTCATTGTGTCATAGTTTTGTCAATAAGAGCTGTGTTTTCAAGACTCTTCTGTTTGCCATATGTGCAGCTCACCCGTTCCTTCCCATTTCTGCACCAGACTCCATTTACCAGGTTAATTCCAACCTCTTCTTACCATACCAGCACCATTGGTTTGTTCATTCTTTTTGCTGGAATTTTTGTGCATTTGGAAAATGTTTTTTGAATGCCTGTTATAATGCCAGACACTACTGCAGGAGTAGTTGGGGATAAAAGTACTTCTACATTTATTGTAGAAATTTTCACATAAGTAGATTGTGTGGTTAAGAAAGTAGGCTCTCTCTTAGTGATTATAATGCCTAGCTAAGAAAAAAGGGAAAATACAAAGAGCTGTGCAAGAAAATCTGAATATTACCTATTTTATAATATCTCAATGTGTCATAATTCTCTGGTTGTAAGGGAATTTTTGTTTTCTTTTTTAATCCTCACCTAAGGACATGTTCATTGATTTTAGAGAAAGAGCAACATCAGTTAACCCCAATCAGAGATCGAACCCACAGCCTTTTGCGTATGAGAGAATGTTTTAGCCAGCTGAATCACTAGGGCAGGGCTGTAGAAGGGTTTTTAGAATAAAAACAAAAAAGCTTTTTTTTTACTTTGATGTCTTCTTGTTCAAGTGGCACTGTGTTGTGAACATGGATTTATGTTTCCTTTTCTTAATACTTGCTCATTGTACTTACTAGTTCATGCTGAGAACAAGACTTGATGATCATTACAATGTAAACACCCCTTTCCAAAGCCTACTGCTGCCTGTGGTTCAGCTCTCTGCAGTCCCTTGAGTCACTTAACACTCACACATCTGTTTTATGGCCTTTTCCATTTGTGACTGCTGCTGTCGTCTCTGCTGTCACTCTTTGTTCTTGTCATTTTGTCTTTTGAGGTCCTTCACTGATGCGGATCCTGGCTGGCAGGATCTGTGTATGTTGTGGTGGCTGTGAGCAAATACACAGGGACTACAGAAGTCCTGTGGAGAAAAGTGACAGCACGGCTGCTCTCTGAGTGAGAGAGAGGGCCCTGACCCCTGCCTGGACAGGCTTTTATTGTTTTTCTGAGTACATTACATTGAGGATGGTCCTCATTTACTATGCACAGGTTCACATTAGGTGGTTACCTTTTACATGTAACAGGAGAAGATGTTGCTAATTAAATTGAAGAAGGATATTTGCAAATGTTAAGGGAAAAATGGTTGCACTCATTATACTCCATACATCAAAAGTTTAGCTCAGACTTTAAGAAGTTGCAGTAAGCCTTTGCTACCTCAATCCACGGTGAGGGAGTTTTAGCAAAAGTAAGCCACATAGCAGCCTAGGTACAATGCAGGCCTGATTCCCCACAGGAAAACCTATCCATGGGTGTGGCTCCTATGTGTTGACCTGCTCCCCACTGGCCTTTCCAAGTGGGGGCTGAGCTACACTCCCATGCCAAGTGAAACAGCTCCCTATACTTCACTGAGACTCCAGTGGAATCTCAGGAAAAGTGAAGTCTCAGGAGAGAGATGTTAATATATGGGCTCAGCCTGGCATTTCTAACCTTTAGACATAACTTTCTTCTTATGTGATAGATTTTTTTTTTTTTCTGTTGCAAAGAAACTGCTTCTTGCACTCTATTGAAACTGCCAAACACCTCCATGATTTGTTTTTGGATCATGTTTAGACAGGTGTAGTTACTCTTTATTCTTTAGGATTATGTTCTTTTTCTCTTTTAGGAAATGTTTTCATATGTTTGTGCTTTTCTTTAGTTATCATCAAATAAAACATGACCTGTGTGGACCAAGATTTTTAATATAGAATGATGTGTGCTTGTCCTTGGCTCTTTGTATTGCTTATCTGAATTATATGGACCTTTATGTCTGCTTTTGACAAAAGTTTCACATACATACATTACTTCGAGGTAGAGATTCTGTGTCATTAAATCTGTGGCTCTAGGTAGGACCTAACGTACATAGTGTTATATAGTCTCTTGCTAAGTTTAAAACACAGCATGTTAAAATTTTAGTTGCTATTTATAGTAATTTTCTTGAAGATTAAACATGACAAACATTTTGAGACTGAGTGAGTTATTTTAGGTGGGAGATTTTTGGAATTTCTCCTGAAGTGTTATTAGTGTATATATGTTTAATGAATTAGGTTGTCTAATTTGGTATAAGAGTATGGTAATGAGACAGAGGTTCTTTTTTGACTTTCCCCTGGTCGGTGGTGTGCTCTGCATTTTTTAACATGTGGCAACACCCCGTTCAGTAACGATTGGTGCTGCCATCAGAGGGTCCAAATATGGCGGTAACCGTGAATGATCAGTCCAGGTGAGCTGCTGGAAAACACAACCCAAGTCACACTTTTAAGATGATGATTCAGTAAAGTTTTTTTTATATGGAGAATAATAATTAATATGTTAAACATTTTATTTGATAATTTACTTTTGTTTAAAATAGTTGACAATAATATCTTGTGTTTCAACTATTTTTTTCATAGGTTCTTCTGTGAACTAGACTTTGAATATTTTTGACGGAAAGATTTTTAATGATGTGATGATAGGTTAGTTACATGGTTAGATTTCTCACTTTTTGCTAGGGTATTAGTGTTAACTAAAGTTCACAAGTAGTCTCTTTATCCAGTCACTTAGCCCGTATTCATGCTCATTGGTAGTAAATGAAATAAATCATCGGTGTGTGCCATGCTCAGGAGAAGGCTGGTTGCAGGACAGTGAGCAGGTGTTGACAGGGCTGTGGGGTGAGCTTGGCCAGGTCATGCTGAGTGTGGACTTCCTGAGTAATAGAGCTCCGTAATTGTCATCTTGGTGGGGGTGAGTCAGATGGGTCCATTACATATACGAGATTTCTCATCTTACAGAGTTTCTGAGCAATGAAATTACCACCAGGCAGGCTGCAGAAAGAACACTGAAGAGGACAATGTATCATTAAATAACTGAGAACTTGAGCCTCAAGAGAAAGAAGGTGTGCCTCAGCCAGCTGTTTCTGACAAGTTCTTCTCATTTAATCTTTGCATTTTAGATGAGCACTCTTGTTAGGGTTCCCAGGTCATTTTTATCAGTATGAGGCTATGCTGTTCAAAATATAATGGTAAATTAATAATTAAATTGATCCATATTTCAATGTCACTTTGCCTAATAAATTCGTCTTAATCATTAGGCTTTATTATTTAGCTTTTCCCTTCTTTCCCCTTTGAATGTTTAAGCATCCACAATATAATTGTATATATAATACAGGTAATGAATTAATCAGAACTCGCAAGATATGTTGGAACTGATTACATTTTACTATTTTGAAATATTTCTCAACAGCGGTCCAAATATTTTTGTTTTCATTTTAGAACAAAATCCAGTCTCATAGCAGAGGAGAATATAATGTTTACAGCACCTTTCAGAGCCATGAACCAGAGTTTGACTACTTGAAAAGTTTAGAAATAGAAGAAAAGATCAACAAAATTAGGTGGTTACCCCAGAAAAATGCTGCTCAGTTTTTATTGTCTACCAATGGTAAGTGTAACTTTTTTTTTCCATGTATACATGTTCTGTAGGACACATCACCCTTTTCAAAAAGGAATAGTTGTTAAGAGATCTGGTCAAATAGTAATTCAGAAATACTTCTTTCCCACATGGAACATAAACTCTTCTTTTTTTGTCCTTTCTTCTTTATTCTCATTTAGTTTTTAAATTCTGTGAGAGAGATTTTCCGGTGTCGGTTTTCCTTTAGCACACAGGCTGTTCACCACTGCCTTTAGGTCTTGCTCTGTTCCTGCCAGTTCTTGGCTTAGCCTCAGGCTGGTTACTAACACTGGGTCAGACTTCCCTCCTTTGCAAAGTGGAGATAGTAATATAATAACTCCTAGTGTACATAATATATGCTCAGTAACTGTTAGTCTCCTTTCTTCCTCCTTTTTAAGTGTGCCAAAACTCTCCAAAGAATATTTCAAGCTATAAATTCAAAATACTCTGTCAAAATATGGCCTCCATTCAAGGATACTCTCTAGAATAGCACTTTTCTTACTTGATCCTTGTCATCAGACTGGATTTGACACACTGCCTTCTTTCTTCCCAATAAGCCTCATGGCTGGAAAAGGGTTTTTTCTTACATTATTTTGTTTTCTCAGGAAAAGTTTTTAAGTGAGGGTTAGAATTGTGTGATGACTCTACCAAAATTTAAACTTCTTTATGATAAGTTAAGAATTTTTTCTTAAGAGTTTTTTGTTGTTGTTGCTCTTAATTCTCCGCCCCCCCCCCCCATTTAGGTTGCTGTTACCTGGTTTATCCTTAGGTGGCTGCAGGCTGAAGAGAGTCATTAGAGTGACTGAGAGATACCCCCAGGTTCTGGGGAGTCACAGTCTGTAAAAATGCAGATAAACTTGTGTGAGGCTGGCATGAGAATTGGGAGAAACCTCTCTTATTTTCTCATGTCTTAACTGTTCATAAAAGCAGACTTTTAACACTTGGACCTTACCATTCTTGACCATTCACAGACAGTGAACTCGGGTGGAAATGTTTAGTTTCCCCTTGATCCATTTTAGGTGCCATCACACTCTGTATCTAGTTCTTCAAAGTGCACTTGGCAAAACAGTGCTCCTCTCTTGACACCACAGATGAGTTTCCTCCCGCCCCCTTTTTTTATCATCAAGGTGCTTCCTTACCAGCCCATTGACACTTGTGCTCTCTGCTCCCTCATTTCATATAAGCTCTGCATTCCCCTCTTTTATTATTTAAAATGAGAAAGGAAGGAAATAATGACTCAAAGCTTATAGCTCTGACAGCATCATAAATAGAGCTGTTTACTTATGTTGGCTTCTAATATTGGTTCAGTTTTAATTTATATGGTAAACTATTTCAAACAGCATTTCAGATACTGTTTTTTTCTTTGACATCAAATAATGCACAATTTTACTATTTATATTGTTTCTACCTTTGGAATTAAATGTCCAGAGGAAGTGTGTTACACAACTCAACGTATTTAAGTATTTGCTTTTAATAATTTGCTAGTTCACTTCTTAGTGGCTAAATTATCATGCTTTTTATAAAGGGGGATTTTTAACCTAGAGGCTAAAATAGAATAGTAGAATGAAGATCTACATACCCATCACCCAGCTTCAACAATTCTTAGTTCATAGCCAGTTCTCTTTTCTCAGACCCTTCTCCTTCCCCTCCTTCTCAGTCATATTTGAAAGCAAATTCCCTTTCAGTTTGTTTATGGATAAAATCTTAAGTAGCTTTCAATTCCCAGCTTATGTTCTTGTGTCTTCCTTGCTGGCTTCCTTGTGCTTCTCTGTGGCTTGAAATAAGCAAGGCACTTACCACTAGAGCCTTTCTAGACTGAACTTTACAAAAGGCTCAGTGTGGGGGCAGACCCTGGGAATCCCAGGGGTGGGAGTGGGGTGTGAATCTGTGTAGTATAGTACTTTTCTGTAGACAGAATCAGCACTGTGTCCGAAATAGGCTACTATGTAAATTCGAAAAATCATTGATTAATAGTAAGTTAAAGAGCACCGCACAGTGCATTGTAGGTTTTTGTCTGTATTGTTACTGTTGTTAATGAATACTAAATACAACACAGGTGTTAGAGGGCCACTTTATTTTTGTGTGCAAACGTAGAGTGTAGAAGGATAGAACAGGAATGGGAGTTGTACAGACTGCTATATCTGGGAATGGTGGGGTGAGAAAAGGGGTAGGAGGAGTAGTACTTGGGCTGTATCTAAAAAGCATGACTTTAAAAAGAGAAAGCAATTATGGGAAAATCTGAATAATATCTTTTTGTTAGTGTGTATAGTTTTCTCTGTGAAGTATAGAGTAATAATACCTCCTCCTCCCAAATGTATGGTGAATGGGTCTTTATACTCACAGGGTTAGAAATTCCTGTGGAAGAACAGTAGAAAATTGGACCAAGTATTTCATTTTTGATTCACCAAGACTAAACTTACTTCACACTTGAGTTGGCTTTACATGATTGTTTTTACTTAAATAACTTTATAGTCATCTCTTACAACTTTAGTTCATTTAATGTATTGTCAAGTGATTTTATTCTTTATCTTAACTTCTTTTGCCTTTCTCCGAGTTTTTCTCTAGTCCACATTGCAAAAAGGTCTGCCCGTAACCTGTTGCCCATGGACGGGTCTTGAATACATGAATAATACAAAATTCGCTAATAAATAGGTTGCTTTTTAACAGCTTGTTAATAAGAAGCTATTTGGAGCTTATATAAAACAGAGGAAACGTGATGGCATGGTTTCGCCTGTCCCACCCCGCAGCCTGCAGCCAGAGGCGCACGTGGTCTTCTGGACTTCTTGAACACTTCTTTAGTTATTGGAGTTGACAGTTTAGGGAATCACGACAATGCAGAAGTTCTTAATTTTTTGGAAGTAACAGACATCCTTACACATCTTACAGTTCCCTTCACAGAAAAGCTGTGTGTCAGCCCCTCATCTCGCCTGCTTGTTTATGGAGGATGGTCATGTGTCACCACCTGTGGGCCAGAGACTCCAGATTTAAAGGTCACTTCCTTAGAGCATATGGATGAAAAAATTTTCTTTAAATTTTATGTCATATTTGTTAAAACATTTCATTTCCAGCCTGCCTTGTCCCCAAGCACTGCCCTGAAATTATGTAGTACTTCTGTGTCCTGTGTTAATGCTGTTAAAAAAATGTATTTTTACCCTCTTAAGTCACAAATGTTATCACTTTAAAGTTTAAGTCTGTTTCTTAAAATATTTACCATTTTCTCACAATTCTAAAAGTACTTTCCATTAATACTATTAGGAAACAAACTAATTTCATCTCATTTGAAAGTTTGATAATTATATTGTGATTTCTTTATCTGGATCTTTAATAAGGTTGATGAATTTGAACAAGCCAGGCCATAAGACAGTTACGGGAATTGGGTGGCGGGCAGGGGGAGTTCTAGTCATCTTTAGGACACAATTTCTCCTAAAATACAGAATTTAGGCTTGACTCATTTATATTACAGATTTGGGGATAAAATATTCTAGAGTATATAATTACTTATCTAAATATATAAATTAAATAGCACACAGAAAACACATCACTGAACTTTAAGATAACTAGAAACTTGATTCCATAGGGTTTAAATGAAACACTAGATAACAAATCAGTAGGGTTGACTGTCCCTTCTCTGTAGACTTCATCTTTGCAGAGGATGTCCACAAGGGCGGCTGGCAGAGAAAGGTGGCCAGGCCAGTATGTGTCTTTACACACTACTTAAAATTATATTATGCCCATTTGCTTATGAAAGACCATTAAGAATGTGATATTTTTATATGAGTGTAATTTTAGGATAACACAAAGTATTAAGTGAATATACACTAGTCTATAGTGGTATAAATAAATCATTGATTGAACAAATAAGTGGGGGAGAAGAGACTCTTCTTACAGGTGAATCACAAATAATATGTGGGTGGATACTACAGGATCCATCCTGCAGGGATGGTAACTTAATCCTCCCTTTAAGGGTGGGGTGTACTTAGTGACACTTCCAAAAAACAGTGTGGTAAGGGGAGCATAGTGACTGCAATGGAAAAACCTGGCATTCACTGCCTTAACCAAGTGGTCAGAGCGCGAGGAAGCCCTGTCCATACTGTGCATCCCCTCACTTTACCTCTGGTGCTCTTTCTTAAAAAAAAAACATGATTCCAGTCTGGTCACGAGAAAGCATCAAACTTGGGGGACATCCTACAAATTACCTCACCTCTGTTCTCAGAACTTCAAGGTGATGAAAAATAAGGGAAGTCTGAGGAATTGTTCAAGTGATAGAGACTGAGACTTGACAACTAAATAAAGTGTTGTTTGGATCCTGGATGGAATCCTAAAATAGAAAAGGGAAGTTAGAAAGCCTGCTGGAATCTGAGCGAAGTCTGGAATTTAGTTAACAGTAATGTACAACGTTAATTTCTTAGTTTTAACAAATATACCAGATTGCATAAGGTGTTGACATCAGAAGAAACTGGGTGAAGGGTTTATGGGAACCATGCTGTCTTTGTTACCTCTCTGTAACTCAACATCATTCCAAAATAAAGGTTTACTTTAAAAAACAGCATTTTGTGTATTCTCATTATGTAAGAATTTTGTCTTGAAGGACTTGGGGACGTATACCTTTTTTTTTTTTTTAAATCCTCACCCTAGGATATGGTTATTGACCTGAAAGAGACAAGCATCGATGTGAGATGTATGTGCCCTGACCAGGGTAGAATCCGAACCTAGATGTGTTCCCTGGCTGGTGATTAATCCCACCGTCTTCTGATGTATGGGAGGACCCTCCAACCAACTGAGCCACCTGGCCAAGGCAGAGACCTATGCTTGTAATCTGTCCCCCCCTTTTTTTTTTTTCCAGTTTTTATTAGCTACTTATGAATCCCTAATACAATAGGGAAATAATATATTTAAACAAAGGAATCCAGACCTTTGATTCCTTACCATTTTTATTCTAAATAGTAATTAGGCTATATAAAACTATTTTGTTGTTTGTTCTCTCTTAAAAATTAAATACTGGACTACTGGCCAAGATGGAGGCATAGGTGGAAACACTGTGCCTCCTTGCACAACAAAATTTTAGTAACAAAAACACAGCCAACGCACAGGAAATTGAACCGTATGGAAGTCCAACAACAATGAACCATTCAGCCAGACCAGCAAGAGGGGTGGAGTCGGGTCACACAGGAAAGAAATACTGGACCTATGCAGGAGCGCAGGTGGCAGTTGGCGGATCCCAGGTGTGGGGTGGCAACAGGCAGACCCAGTGAGGGTACAAGGCAGCCAGCTGACCACGGTCACACATTCACTCGCAGATAAACCAGGCGAAGGAGCGAGCAGTGAGACTTCTCAGGCTAGGGCCCCAGCGATGGGAATTAGAGCCTGAAAGCACCAACTGGAAAGACTTTGGGGGTCGAGGTGTCCAGAGAAGCTCCCAGGCTCACAGAGAGTTTGTTGGAGAGATACACAGGGTTCTAGAGGGTACACAAGCCCACACACCCGGGAACCACTACCAGAAGGGCCCAGTTTGTTTGTGGGAAGCGGCAGAGGGGACAGAAATCTGAGAAAGAGCAGAACACACGCCATTGTCCCTCTCTGACCCCGCCCCCACATACAGCGTCGCAACCCAGCGACCTGGGCAGCCCTGCCCTTGTGAACACCTAAGGCTCTGCCTCTCATATGTAACAGGTGTAAACAGACCAAAACATTATGGCTCAAGAACAGCTCAAAGCCCCAGAGCCAATAAATCTAAGCAACTGAGAGAGAGCTAACCTTTCAGGTGCACAGTTTGAAACACTGGTGATCAGGATGCTCACAGAATTAGTTAATTTTAGTCACAACATAGAGGAACAAATGAAGGCTAAACTAATTGAAATGAAGGGAAGTGCGCAGGAAACCAATAGTGATAGAAAGGAAATCAGGACTCAAATCAAGGGAGTGGACCAGAAAGAAGAAGAAAAAAAAAATGACCAAACAGAAAAGAAGGAAGAAACAAGAATTTGGAAAAATGAGGACAGGCTTAGGAACCTCCAGGACATCTTTAAACGTTCCAACATCCGAATTATAGGGGTACCAAAAGGGGAAGAGGAACAGCAACGAATGGAAATCTTATTTGAACAAATAATAGTGGAGAACTTACCCAATTTGACAAAGGCACTAGACTTCCAGGAAGTCCAGGAAGCTCAGAGAGTCCCAAAGAAGTTGGACCCAAGAAGGAACACACCAAGGCATATCATAATTATATTAGCCAAGATTCAAATGAAGGAGAGAATCCTAGAAGCAGCAAGAGCTAAGGGGACGGTCACCTACAAGGGAGTTCCCGTCAGACTGTCAGCTGATTTCTCAGACCTTTTCAGGCAAGAAGGGGCTGGAAAGAAGTATTCCAAGTTACGAAATCCAGAGATCTACATCTAAGATTGATCTATCCAGCAAAGCTTTCATTTAGAATGGAAGGGCAGATAAAGTGCTTCTCAGATCAGGCCAAGTTAAAGGAGTTCATCATCACCAAGCCCTTATTATGTGAAATGTTAAAGGAACTTACCTAAGGAAAAGAAGATCAAATTATGAACAGTGAAAGGACAGCAAACGCACAGTTATTAACAACCACACCTAAAAGCAAACTAAGTGGACAGCTAGATCAGAAGTGGAGCCATAAAAATGGAGATCACATGGGGGGTTAGCAACAGGGGAGTGGGAGGAGGAGAAGGGAGGAGAAGGTACAGAGAATAAACAGCATAGACGGTAGGTAGAAAATAGACTGGGGGGAGGGCAATAGTAGTATGGGAAATATAGAATCTAAAGAACTTGTGACACATGGACATAAATGAAAGGGGGTTTAGTGGGGGAGGGGTGTGCAGGGTAGAGGGGAATGAAGGGGGCAATAGGACAACTGTAATGGCATAATCAATAAAATATATTTTTTAAAAAATTAAATATTAACCCTGGCTGGTGTTGCTCAGTGGATTGAATGCTGGCCTGTGAACCAAAGAGTTGCTGGTTCAATTCCCAGTCAGGGCACATGACTAAGATTATATGTATATGTTTATATGTATGTGTAGTTGTGTGTCTATATACATATGAATTTTTCTCCTGGCTTTATTTAGTTTTAAAGGACAAGAACCTGGCTATGACTTGATTTTAATATCAAATGGAATTTTATGAGTTCTATTAACATGAAATATTTCTGCACTGTATTTCTGTTTATGGGTTTTTTATTTACCTGGTAATTAAGGTTTTTTATTTTTATTTTTTTTGAGTCATATAAGGAATTTTATTCTTGGGATCTTTTTAGGTGAAATATGAAATTTCATGTTTAAATATACCATAAAGTGTTTATCTTATACCAGTGTTAGTGGTTTTTTCAGGGCTTACTTTATTGTCTCCCCAGATAAAACAATAAAATTATGGAAGATCAGTGAAAGAGACAAAAGACCAGAAGGGTATAATTTGAAAGAGGAAGATGGAAGGTATAGAGATCCTACTACAGTCACTACACTACGAGTAAGTATGAATGGTGTTCTGTGTTCATCTTACGTATTCTGTATCCTGAGCAGATCTTGGAGAGGAATCATTACAGTGTGCCCCCCATATCAACAGTTCTGTAGATTGGAGAAGAAAACCCCTATGTTAGACAGACCCTGGCCTACATAGCAGTCTCAGCCATGACCAGGGGCAGACTTGGGACTCAACACAAAACTGCTCCACACTGACCCACATGCTCTCTTGCTCTCATGGTTTGACTATCAGCTATTACAAGCTTAACTTTCAAGATTAATTTTCTTTGGAAATTGAAAAAGTAGAAGTGGACCAAATTTTATTGCAGCTTAAAAAAACCCACCAAGAATTACACACTCTGGGCTAATTCCTTTTTAGCCACTTTAATTTAAATTATAAACATTAATAGCTTTATATGTCTTCCAAGCAAAAGATTGGAACTAGGAAGAATGTCAAATTTTAATAGTATTGCTATCTGTAAAAGAAGACAAATTATTCAAATTATTTTTGTTTTCAGTTGAGCCTCAGGATCAACATAAGTTACTTTTTAAACCTAAATCTGTATAATATTAATACTGTTTTATATTCCCTCAGAAACTATCAAAATGAAGTGTTTTAAACCCTCAGGACTGTTGTAAGCAAAGAACATTTCGTAATGACTGTTTTTCATGTGTCTTATTGACAGGTGCCAGTCTTTAGGCCCATGGATCTAATGGTCGAGGCCAGTCCACGGAGAATATTTGCCAATGCTCATACATATCACATCAACTCGATTTCTATTAATAGTGATTATGAAACATATTTATCTGCAGATGATTTACGGATTAATCTTTGGCATCTGGAAATTACCGACAGGAGTTTTAGTATCCATTTGATATTTTTTTCTTTTTGGTGGTATAAAGTCAGTAGAAATATTTATCCAAACCCCATTTTTATTGTTCATATTGTGCTGAAAATTTTCTGTGCATATGTAAGTACATGGCATATAAACTTATATACTTGGCGCACGCACACACTATACACAAATAGTGAAAAGCCCTCTTTTGTTGTTTGGTTAGCATGCCTGTTAAATTGAGTAAACATGAGCATTTTTTCATATTTATATTATTTTCTAATTCATTAGATTTGCATTATTTATTTATTTATTTATTTATTTATTTATTTATTTATTATTGAAAAATATATTTTATTGATTATGCTATTACAGTTGTCCCATTTTTCCTTCATTCCCCTCCACCCTGCACACCCTCTCCCACCCACATTCCCCCCTTTAGTGCATTTCTGTGTGTAATATTTGTAAGTTCTTTAGCTTCTACATTTCCCATACTACTCTTACCCTCCCCCTATTTTCTACCTACCTTCTATGCTACTTATTCTCTGTACCTTACCCCTCTCCCCCACTCCCCTGTTGATAACCTTCCATGTCATCTCCAATTCTATGGTTCTATTCCTGCTCTAGTTGTTGGCTTTGTTTTTAAGTGTGATTGTTAATAATTGTGAGTTTGCTGTCATTTTACTGTACATGTTTTTTATCTTTTTCTCTAAATAAGTCCCTTTAACATTTCATGAAATAAGGGCTTGGTGATGATGAACTCCTTGAACTTGATCTTATCTGAGAAACACTGTATCTACCCTTTCATGACTTAGAATACTTCTTTCCAGCCCCTTCTTGCCTATAAGGTCTCTTTTGAGAAATCAGCTGACAGTCTGATGGGAACTCCTTTGTAGGTGACTGTCCCTTTATCTCTTGCTGCTTCTAGGATTCTCTCCTTCATTTGAATCTTGGCTACTGTAATTATGAAGTGCCTTGGTGTGTTCCTCCTTGAATCCAACTTCTTTGGTACTCTCTGAGCTTCCTGGATTTACTGGAAGTCTATTTCCTTTGCCAGATTGGGGAAGTTCTCCTTTATTTGTTCAAATAAGATTTCCACTTCCTCTTCCCCTTCTGGTACCCCTATAATTCTGATGTTGGAATGTTTAAAAATGTCCTTCAGGTTCCTGAGCCTCTCATTTTTTTGAATTCTTGTTTCTTCCTTTTCTGTTTGTTTGTGTCTTTCTTCCTTGTGGTCCACTCCATTGATTTGAGTCCCAGTTTCCTTCCCATAACTATTGGTTCCCTGTCCATTTTTCTTTATTTCACTTAGTATAGCTTTCATTTTTTGGTCTAATTTACTATCAAAATCAACCAGTTCTGTGAGCATCCTGATCACCAGTGTTTTGAACTGTGCATCTGATAGGTTGGCTATGTTTTCATCATTTAGTTGTATTTTTTTTTCCTGGAGCTTTGATCTGTTGTTTCATTTGGGCCAAGTTTTTTGGTCTTGAGGTACCTGTTATGTAGTGAGGGGCGGAGCTGTAGGTGTTCACCAGGATGGGGCAACCCACGTGGCTGTGTTGTGAATGTGGGAGAGGGATCAGAGAGGAAACAGTGGCGCTTGCTCTGCTCTCTGCTGGATTACAGTCCATTCTCCCACTTCCCCCTAGCAAACTGGGCCCTTCTGGTGCTGATTCCCGGGTGGCGAGCTTGTGTACATTCTAGGATCCAGTGGGTCTCTCCAACGAACTCGTCTGGGAGTCTGGGAGTCTCTCCTGGTGCCTCAACCCCCACATAGGTGTTTTGAGGCTTTATTTCCCTGTGCTGGGATCCTGGGTAGCTCAGTCTGTCTTGCTTCCCAGTTTCACATGGTTTATCTGTGAGAGAATGTGGGACTGCCCGGTGTGTTGCTCCCAGTTCCACAATCCACCGCCTTGCTGGGTCTGCCAGCCACCACTTTGCCGTGGCTACTCTCCATGACTGCTCTCCACCTCGCCTGGCCACCCTATTCCACCCCTCCTAGCAGTCTGGATGAATGTGCCTACTTTAACTCGTTGGTTTTTGGACTTTTATACCGTTCAATTTTTGTCAGTTCTGGTTGTTTTTGTTTTAAAATCGTTGTTTTTCTTTTGGATGTGCGAGGAGGCACAGTGTGTCCACCTATGCCTCCATCTCAGCCAGAAGTCCTTCCATATTTTTATTTTTAAAGCACATTTATATGTTAAGTAAATTAGCTCCATTCTTTGTGATACAAATAGTTTTCTCCTTTTTGCTCCCCTTAAAGATTTTGTTTTTGCTGTGTTTGGAATGTACACTAGGTTTTCTAAGCACTAGAATGTGATTCATAGAACTTGTATTTCAGACTACGAATGAATTTCAGATTTGAGAAATGTACAGTTACATTTGCCCTTTTTTCTAAGTGGCAATTCCTTAATAAAATGCTATCCAGATATTGTGGATATCAAGCCTGCCAACATGGAAGAGCTGACAGAGGTTATTACAGCAGCAGAGTTCCATCCAAACAGCTGTAACACGTTTGTGTACAGCAGCAGTAAAGGAACGATCCGGTTATGTGACATGAGGGCATCTGCCCTCTGTGATAGACATTCAAAATGTAAGTTAACCTCATCTTTTTACAAATGATGACATTTCCCTCTGTCTGGAGTTCGCTTCATATGTTTACAAGTATTAATTAAACCTGTGTGCCCAGGGCCTCTTGTACCTTTGGTAAGCTGCTGACTCTTCCATGGTTCGTCATGGGTTGTCTACCGGGAGAGCATAGAAGGCTTTCTCAGGGGCAAGTCTGCTGATGTCTAATGGGTGGGGGGAGGTAGATAGAGATGCATATCTCTAGATAGATAGATTAGATAGATAGATAGATAGATAAATAAATTTTTACTTAAATTCTTACCCAAGGACTTGCTTACTGATTTGGGAGTGAGGGGGCAGAGAGATAGAGAGGAACATCAATTGGTTGTCTTCCATATGTACCCTGACTAGGGATTGAACCCACAATTTTTTGGTGTATGGGATGACACTTCAACAAACAATCCCTTGGCCAGGCCCAGTGGGTATGTGTTTAGCAGAATACTGCTCTTCAGGGACTGGGGTGAGGCTCCCCAGTCCTGTATTCACATAGAACAGTTTGTTTTCCCCTTCCTCTTCTTTCCTTTCTTCCTGTTCTGAGCTTTTTAGGAATATTTCTTCTGAGAAGAGCTTTCCTTGACTTTAAAAAAACTGCAGAGCACTGGATTAAATTAAGGGGTTGCATTATTATTCATTTTCTTGAGTATTTTTGAAATTTATGAAACTTGGTACATGCCTGTTACCAAGATAATTTTACCTGGCCATTAAATAAAGAAAATGCTGGTGTGGATTTGAAGGGTGAGGATGGTGTTTCTCCTGTGGTACTAGCACAGGCAGTGGCGGTGAGGTGTGCATAGAACTTGCACACCTGGTGCACCAAAGGCGGAGGTCCCTGAGCGAGTCTAGTTCTGCTAAATTAGCCGCGGGACACTGGAAGTCTAAATACGTTTCTTTCATTTGTGCTCATATTGTTCTCATAAACTTTCAGGGAGTCCTGGCTTGGTGGCTCAGTTGATTGGAGTATTGTCCTGTACACCAAAGGGTTGCGGGTTCGATCCCATCAGGGTGCATACAAGAGGCAGTGGATGATGTTCATCTCTCACATCGATGTTTCTCTCTGTCTCTCTCGTTCTCTCCAGTCCCACCCCAAACATTTCCTCGGGTGAAGAGTGTTGGGTTGTGGGTTTTTTTTAAATTAGATTAAACTTTGAAAAAAGAAAAAAAAAGAAACTTTCAGGAAGATATCTTAAAGCTAGAGACATTTTTCAGATTTTTACACAGTTGTCATTTTTAGCTGCCTCCTAGGAAATTTGTGAACTGTTTCAGCAAATGCTTTGTGCAAGCCAAAATATTATATAAATTGCCCCTTTTAAATTTCTCCTTTTTCATTTTTATTTTTTGCTTGTTTTTAGTGTTTGAAGAACCTGAAGATCCCAGTAACAGATCTTTTTTTTCTGAAATCATCTCCTCTATTTCTGATGTAAAATTCAGCCATAGTGGTCGATATATGATGACTAGAGACTATTTGTCTGTCAAAATTTGGGACTTAAATATGGAAAACAGGCCTGTGGAAACATATCAGGTATTGGCACTTCTTTCAATAATTATATACCCTACTAACTTTTAAATGTTTGTAGAGAAGGATTTTGGATTATGTATTAATTGTAATACAGTGTTCACAATTGGGCTTTTTTTCTTCAGAGGTCCATGAGTATTTTGCTTTTCCTTATGTTAAATTTATATATAGCTTTATAGGTTGTATTGTGATTTTGCAGTTAAAGTATAATTTTGCTACTGATTTGATTCAATATCGATTACTTGTTTTTCCCTGCTTCTGTCTACATTTAAAGTGAGAAGAGTACTCTTCGACCGCCTAGTCGGTGGGGTGTGGGTTGGGGAAAGTGGCCAGTCCTAGGAGAGAGGTGTACTGGGTGGAGTGTGTGCAGTAGTAGTCGAACTAGAGATTAACTTTGGTATACCAGGTTACAGTGATTGGCGTCCTGCCTTTTGGCTAACAACTGTTTTTTTTCTTTCTTTTTAAAATTATTTAATTGTTCAGTTACAGTTGTCTGCATTTACCCCCCAACTACTACCCATCCCTTTTTTTTTTTTTTTTTTTTTAATTAACTGTATTGGGGGATAACATTAGTGAATAGGATCGTAGTGGTTTCAAGTGTATTTTTCTATGATACATGACCTGTGTATTGTGTTGTGTCTTAAGCTAAAGGAGAAGGGCTTGAAAGCCCAGCCGAGAGCTTTAGGAGTTGCCTGTCTGTTGTAGGATGTCAGTTCTGGCTTCACTTGTTAGCAGCTACTAACACTGATCTGCCTTCTCTTCTAGAGAAGAGTGAAGACATGCACGGTCAGGCACAGGGTGGGGGCAGCCGGACCTTGTGTGAGGCCCTCGGTTGTTACAGTGTAGAAAACACTTAACACTGCTTTAGAAATAAGAATGGATAAATTTTACCTTCATGTTGTATATTCTCAGTAAAATTAGAATAGTATTTCTCAAACTTTTTAAGCCTCTTTAACAAATGTAAATTTCCAAATATACATTAGGTTGAAGCAAAAGCAAAGAGATGCATTTACTCTGTTTTTGAACTATTGGGTTGGACAAAAAGTCTGTTACATTTTTTCTGTAAAATAAAGATTTTTTTTCTGTAAAATAAAGATTTTTTTATTTCTACTAATAACTTTATTGATTTGGATATTTTGAGTATGTCAGCTGTCTCCCACTATTGGCTTCTAGTGGGTAGAGGCCAGGGGTGCTGCTAAAACTTTCAGTGCATAAGACAGCTTCACAGCAAAGAGTTGCCCAAAATGTCATCAGTACCAAGAAACTTTGCAAACCACTTTTGAAATGTTCGATCAGTTATAGAACCTTCTCCATACACTGCACAAATCTTTTTTTGTGTTTCAGTTGTGTTTTTATTTTTCTTGAAATAACAAATCATAATACACCAAAAATGTTGCATATTTTCTTCCATCTTCAATATTGAAATGGTTGCACAGTAATTCACCAGTTTTGATGTCTTATTTTAAATGCACACTGATATGACAGCTGTCACAATGCAGTCTAACAAAATTGTTTCAAATAAAGTTACAACTAAGCACAGCTAGAGCCATTGTACAGAAAAACATAACAGACTCTTTGGCCGAAACAATACACTTGTATTGTGTAACTGCCAGATTTCTGGTTTGCCTCCTTAGAGATCCTCACCCCCACTGCTCCGTTCTCACTGAGAATAATCGATTTGAAGCTTAGCTTCATACTCATAAATTGTTGGGAAACCCTGTACATGCATTTCAAAACTTGGCTCAATTATTACAGTTTACCTAATTCGACCTTACTGGCAGTTTTTCTGCCTGTGCTGAGTTAGGTTAGTGATTGAAAATCATGTGACATCATACTCAGATGTAGTGTATGCAGATTGAGCTTTTTATGGTGCATTTGTATAAGCATCTTGCTGAGCTGTGTGTGATTGAAGGGTAATTCTGACTTTATTAGTTTTTCACCCTAACGTGTTCACTTTTAATCCTGACCGTATATGAATTGCAATTCCTCCATGTTAACAGATTTTTACTTGATGTCACATAGATGTGGCACAAATCATGCCACTATGCTTAAAGTTAAGGTGACTTTAGGTTGTTTTATAAAGAACAGAGAATTCTAACATTTAGAAGGCACCTACCTACTCTTGTCTCTCATCACTTCTTCATAACATCCTTTTTTTTTTCAGATGGCAGAAGTATTTTAAAACTGTCCTTTGTAATTTAACCAAGTTAATGAAGTGTATCATTTCTCAGGATATGTTTAAAATACCAGATTTATATTATTTAGAATTGTATTTCTAAAAGCAAGGTATATATATTTTTCATTAGCTTTGCTGTTGTATAAGTAATACCAAGTGATACCAGTTTTTATTGATGTGCATCTAGAGTAACCGTGTAATTCATGACCAAACCAGGGCCTGGTTGTGTTGTGTACAACACATGCACCTATGCCCAGAAAATGGCATTTTAAAAGGAAGTAAAGCACAGTATGGGGTGGTGTTTTTTTTTTTTATCAGCAACTTGTAGACTGAACACCAAGTGGCAGCACATTCAAATATTGCTGTAATCTTTAGTCTCTTATGAGCCATTTTCCTGTTTTCTGGCCTACACACTTCAGTCAAACTTACAGAGTGCCTGTGCTGTGCCCAAAATGGCAGTTTCTCTGTTGTTCGAGAGTAAAATGTGTGTTCCTTGAATGGGTCTTAATGTTTGTAACAGAATAAATGTCTTTGTTGTTACAAAGGGAATCAAGTTTCAGTAAGATTGAAAGGTATGTGTATGTGTCTAAATATGCCTTTAAAAATGCAGACTTTTTAAATCAATATCCTAATTTTAATCAGTAAATTGGGGCGTCAATTAAGAATATATATATATTTATGTTTCCCCAGGTGCATGAATACCTCAGGAGTAAGCTTTGTTCGCTGTATGAAAATGACTGCATATTTGACAAATTCGAATGTTGTTGGAATGGCTCTGATAGGTAAATTGATTTTAATTTGAACTCATTCAAATTTCGTTTTACTTGAGCAGCGACTTTCAACCTTTTTCATCTCATGGCACACATAACTAATCATTCAAATTATACAGCACACCAAAAAGTATATTCTTTGCCAATCTGACAAAAAATAAGTAGAATTTTTATTCATTCACACTGGACAGCTATTGTTGTGTTGGCTGTTTTCATTTTCTTATTAGACAATCTAAGGGAAAAGTGGTCAGTGCCCCTGACTGTAGTCAGGGATTGCATGTTTTAAATTTCTTGAGGCACACCAGTTGAAAATCTCTGTATTAGAAGAAAGAAATGTACTATTTCATCACTCCTCCTGGAATGGTTGCCGTGTTTATTAAAAATATGGCAAACTTTTTTTAAGGTTGACATAAATTAACCAATTCTAACTTCATTGCCCCCCCCTTCTCAGGTTTCCTTGAAATAAATTTAGTAATCTTGTAGCAATATTGGCAGATTCAAAATTAAACATTGTGTGTTGTCAAGTAAATGTGAAAATATACAAAAATTCTAGATTATAAATTATGATTTAACTACCTTTAAGTTTTCCTCTTTTATGAACCAGATCAATCATAAGTTTGACATACCAGCAGTTAAAATGTTAAAATTTCCATTTGGTTGTTACTCTGCTGTTAAACTCTAGCAATATTTAGACAGTAGATATTTCATTTGGAATGTTACACACCAATTTCTCTAGATAATATATTAATACCTCATAGAAGTGGTAATTTTCTGTCCAGAAAAAGTCCATGAAGTATGAAAAGTAGAGATGTTTATTGAAGAAGATATGAAAAACATTGTACATAGAAAAGTGATATCTCAGTCCCCTTCAAAGAAGACACCTTGGGCTCTCACACACTTCTCCCAATCATCATCAGCTGCCCTGTCATATTTTCCTGAATCTTATTCATGGTCTGAAATCTCTTCCCTTTCAAAGGCGGTTTTAGTTTTGGGAAAAGCCGGAAGTTTTAGGGTACCAAACGTGGGCTGTAGGGGGTTGCTGAGTCACCTGAGTGATTTGATATTTTGCCAAAAAACACTCTGCACGAGACACGATGCATGAGTGGGTGCATGGTTGTGATACACCAGTTGTCCATAGCTGCAGCCTTCTGACTCAAACAATTTTCATGGAGGAATGTTCAAGCTTAATGCAAAATTTGATGCAGATTCATTGCTTTACTCACTCAATTTGAATGTGATGGCCACAAAGTACACATGCTCACTTAGCATCTACCACCCACCACTGACTAGTGCAGTCAAGTTGTCATTGTTATCCATGCACATTCCAGTCCACTGTCCTTGGCTGCCAGGTTACATCAGTGCTGCGCAATGTGTTCTCATTGTATTAACAATGGTTGGAAAATGGAGAAGCCAAAGAACTTACATGCATGACCCCTGGGCATGAACTAAGGTGGGGGAATGATGGTGGAAAGGGAGTACAGGGCGGAGGGAAATGAAGAAGAAAAATAACAGTGGTTGGGCTTTTCCGGACAGACCAGACACACATATGCACACAGGCACTTACACAAACACACTTTTTATGTGAACCAGTTGAGAGTAAATTCCAAACATATTGCCCCTGAATTCTTGAATGAGTATTTCCTAAGATTAGACCCCCACCTATACAATGACAGTGTCAGCCTCTAAAATGGAAAAATTCCCATTTGATGCACTACCATCTATCTCATCCACAGATTCCATTAAAATTTCACCAATTCTCAAATCGTGTCCTCTCTTGCAGACAAAAATAAATGGGGTTCGGTATCCAATCCAAAAGCATATGTGACAGTTGTCCTATCTCATTAGTCAGCTTTAATGTGAAATAATTCTTCATTCTTTCCTCGTCTTTTGTGACCTTGGCATTTTTAAAAAACACAGGCCAGTTATTTTACAGAAAGTTTTTAATTGGAGTGTTTTCTGTTTCCTCATGATTAAATTTATATTATACATTTTTGACAGGAATACTACACAAATGCTGGCCTAATAACACCTTTTAAAATTTATGAATAGCCTTAGACCATATATTCTAATTTAATAAAACTTCACAAATTCCTATAACATGGGGATGCCCGTCTAAATTACATTAATTGTTTTAAAAGAAATACAGTTTTATTACCTGCCTTCAGGTGTGTGCACATCAACATGAGTTCAATTAAAATGCTGTCAGTTGTTCTTTGGGAGACTTAATGTTACTAAATATGACCTGTATGAGGTATAATGTTTGTAATAAGAGTTGCTTTCAAGCCTTACTTTACTTGAAACCATTTCTTGGTTTCCTGTAATCTTATTTACAATAATAATTTAAACCATATGGGAATGTTGCAATGGGAGCATCACACCCTTTGTAAATTATTAACAGTTTAAAATGTGTGAAGTTTTACTCGCTGGGATACTTAGTAAGTGTTGAGCAGTGATGGGTGGCAAGAAGGATAGACAGAACATGTCTTGGGCAGGGTAAGAATTTGGCAGTCCTTAAACTGATATAAATATACTGTCCAAAAAAATTGCTAAAAATGTTTTTGGTGTTACAGGTAAAATGGTTTTCTGTTAAGAAAAATTATATATGCTACTTGATATTCTCAGAGGCATATCTCCTATAAGCATCGTAAGACGTGATTATCCAAACTGGGCAGTGACCTGTGAACAATTAAATACCTTATATTTTAAATCATAAAGTATTGGTTTCTTGTGAACAGTTCTGTACCATGCCTTCCTTTTGGGGAGGGGAAGCGGTTTTAGAGCCTGGGAGTACCACTGTTGGTTGGTATTTCTAGAAGTTGGCTGGTCTTGTTGATCGCATAATCTGTAGTTGTAAAGATACTCAACAAGGGTAACTCAGTACTGCTCAGATCTTTACTTGAGGCTGCTTTCCACTTTAGTGATAGTTTGGGTAGTCATGAAAAGGAAGAATTTTTAACAACCAAGCTAACTCATACTGTATTTCTGGGCTGGTGTCACCAGCCTCACCCTGAAATCCAAATCTGCTTAAAATAGCTGTTTCCAGTGGAGCACTAGGCCGGGTTCGTCACAGAATCATTTTACTGAAAACAAACTCACTCATTTGACTAAATGTTCTGTCTACTTTTACAGTGTTGTCATGACTGGATCTTACAATAATTTCTTCAGAATGTTTGACAGGAACACAAAGCGAGACATAACCCTAGAAGCATCACGGGAAAACAATAAACCCCGCACAGTTCTGAAGCCACGGAAAGTCTGTGCAAGTGGCAAGAGAAAGAAGGATGAAATAAGTGTTGACAGCCTAGACTTCAACAAGAAAATACTTCATACAGCCTGGCACCCCAAGGAGAACATCATTGCTGTAGCTACTACAAACAATCTGTATATATTTCAAGACAAAGTGAATTAGGTTGGCATTCCCAGCAGAAGAGCCCACTTCCTGCTTAGTTGATAGTTGAATCTAGCATATGTACCTAAAACAGAGAGAGGTCCATTGTGGTGCCCCTTTCCAGTGTTTGACAATGTGCCATTCGACAACACGTGTATAGCTACATGGAGAAAGCTCTGTGGATTCCTCACTGTGGTGTTCTCCATGTCTGCTAGCCATTTAGGTAAGGTTAGGGCACTTTTAATTTAAATGACTTCTTGCACCATCTTGCCTAATGGACTAGATTGGACTGTATCAACATTGATTTACTCCACTTTCTATGCCTTGCATTGTGATGACGTCAAACACAGTGAAAGCTGTCAGTCATGCTTATGGGATTTAATTGTGTATCCTCATTACTGTATCATTTGTGGGGTACACCCCTCCCCCCTTTTTTAAATTAAATACAGCTCATTCTTACTGTGGCTTGTAGCATTCCTCCTCTCTGGCCTCCTGGACTCTTCCCTTCACGTCTCTCACCCTTGCCCCTCCACCCAGTCTTGGTGGTGGTATATTCAAGAAGGAACGAAAGCACACAAAAGGAGTCAGTTTGGGGTCAGTGGTAAAGGGGAGTCTATGTTGCGAACAAATGTTTTAGTAACAGTTGGCTGTAATCACTCCTTGCCATGTCTGGCACTGAAAATAAGGGAAAAAAAAACTACTACTGAATAAAAGTGACAAAGAATGGAGAATCTGGTTTTCTTTTTGTTTTTAATCTACCTCTTTATTGCCAATATTTTGTGTCATAACTTTGGGCAAAATGACATGAATTTCCATTGTCTTATTGGTGTTTTTGTTATTTTTAACAAGTGTTCTTTTACATGGTGAAGGAGAGGTATTGGTTCTGAACATGTTTGGTTTTATATATTGGATTTCACAACCTATAAATGCTACTTAGAGGGATTTTTTTTTTAACTATAGTTACAAGGGTATTTGGATACATTGTATCTACCCTTAACCCATCTGTTAATAAAATTGTAAATGGGAGCCAAATTTATGGAGCTTCATTTTAAAAGACTTTTTACAGTACTTAATTTCATTTTTGCATTACTAAATACTAAGTCAGACTTTGAAAACTTTTTTTTAACAAATTAGAACTTTTTTTGTCATTCAATCATAAAACATTACACAAAACTATCCTCAAGTGATATACGTAGATAAAACTGACACTGCACTAAATATTTTTTTTGTATTTTATTGCTATCAAATCTAAATGAAATGTACTTTGCCACAGATGATTTTTCTCTATTTTTGGTTTTCCAAAGCTATTACTATTAAAGACAAACTTTAAAGATACAGTGTTTGAAAAGTGCTTAAATGGACTCCAATAGCTGCCTCAAATAAAATTGAGTAAATCTGTATAGGACTACATTTCCCTGCGTGGTGATACCTTATCCAAAGAAGACGAGAACCCTTATTTTATATAGGTAGAATGTACCTTCGTCAGTCTTGCAGAAGCTTTAATGGAGAACAAATGGACTTTATTTTTAAAATATAAATTGAGTAGGCATTTATATTATTAAAGAATGGTAGTATGCTTTGCTTGAGCAGTAATACAACAGCATTGAATTTTAGAGGATTCTGAGTGCTTCTATATATGTCCATTACCTACTGTTCTATTCTCCTCAATGAGAAATGATGAAGCAATTCGACCATAGCGCCCTCTACACTTATACAAATATTATGTCTTGTAAACATTTTTTAGCACACAGGAGAAATTTTATGTAATAAAATTACTGTATCTTTTGGACTTAAATTGGAATTTGTATTTAAACACATTGATTATATGTCTGATAATTCTTAAAATAATGGCACTTCTAATTTATTTGGGGATCTTGGGTGCATTCGTAATTTGTGTTTGTTCTTCACACTTGGAAGTGGGCTGTTCTCCTGCCACAAGCATCAAACACTGATACTCTGTCTCTGATCGGGCACTCTCTCTCTGATTTCTTTGGGAGACTGTTTCCATAAAGTTGGGGTGTGGGTCTTGAGGCAACATCACCAAAACAGCTCTTGGAAATTCTTTTTTAATTCAGCAGTAGCTATAATGATTCTCACTCATGACACTGAAGTTTAGTTTTCTATATTTAAGAGAAACACTGCTAAAATTAAAATGCCTCTATAAAGGAATGCTATTATAAATTGTAACTGTTCTCAAGTATCAGTTTTTAATTTCTTTGGTGTAGCAAACTAAGCCCAGCCACTTATGGTCATGATTAATCTGTTTATTAATAAAAATTACACTTAGAATAAAGTCTTGTCAAGTTGCTTGTATTCTCCTATTCTCTTGACACCTACAAACATGTATATTCCACCACTCTTTTCTTAACTTTTTTTTTATTTTTTATTACAGTACGTGCCCTCGCTGGCATGGTTCAGTGGATTGAGAGCCAGACTGTGAATCAAAGGGTCGCTGGTTCAATTCCCAGTCCCGGGTGCATGCCTAGGTTGCAGGCCAGGTCCCAGTAGGGGGTGCATGAGAGTCAACCACACAGTGATTTTTCTCTTCCTCTCTTATCCCCTCCCTTCACTTTTCTCTAAAAAGAAATCTTTTTAAAATATTACAATATGAAAAAGTCATTTTGTTCATCTTTTATCTTTTATTTAGTGGCTGGGCAGTAGTTAAAAGTATCAATACGTATTTATATAACTAGTGGATATTAAGCTTCTGTGAAGCTGTTAGTCTTGTAATAAAAGATGCACATTTTTTCCTTTCATATTAAGTAAGGATCTTTCTGGTTGCAGTTACTTCTTCAGGAAACTAGAAATGACAACAGGTTCTCTCAGCGTGTAACAGTATGTATATGAGGAATGTGTTTATATTGTAAAGTTATATGTGAGAGCTAAAACAGTACTGATGAAAGTATTTTTAGTGAAATATAACCCATTACCTGCTTAGGGTGCGCTGCTTCAGTGTGGTTTTTTCCTACCACATGTAAATCCAAGTGGAGATAGTAATGTTCACTTCAGAAAGAACAAAACCAAGCTTCCCCCACCCCACCCCCAAAAAGAAAAATATATGCTAGGTAATCCAGAACTAAGTCATTTTCCTTTAATATTTAAGAACATACTATTTCAGGTATCTGTTCTGATCTTGATTTAGCTGTGTCTTACCATTGTTAAAATGGTATTTTACGCACCCCCCCCAACCCTAAAGTTTAGGAAACTAACCCTGCTTCACTGAAATTATGCTTATGTGGCCAAACATTACAACTCAATTTAGTATTACTCAGATTCTTAGTGAATTTACAAAGTCATGGGGTGTTCTCAAATGCTGAAGGTATTTGGTGGAATGATGTTGAGTTTTTTCTTCTCAACATTTCATTGGGTATTAATTAGACTTTATAACCAACAATTTCTATAAAGAATTCAAAACACTTTATAGGCTTGCAGTAACAATATAAAAAAGCTCCTCCTAACATAGTCCCTAGCAAACAGAAAGCACTGCCAAGATTTGTTTTGCTCACCAAAAGGCATTTGGTGAGCAAACTTCATGGGCTTAATGGGAAAATCAGGTGTCTTTAATGTTCTAGCCTGTTGGCTATGTGTCTTGTTCATTAGTATGTGAACAGTAACAAGTTATTTGAGTACTCTGCCACCAGGGGGCGGCAGTTAAGTCAACAGCATTTACCAGGTATTCATTCTTTACTGGAAGAGCTTCATAATTAAAAACAAAATTGGGATCTGAATAAATGAAAAACCCAAAACATTTATGCCCAAGTAAAACCACTATTCAACATAACCCTGGAGAGATACCTCTAGGGCCAGTAATGGAGGGAGAACCCAAATGCTAACTAGGATGTCTGTTTAATAGAATGGGAGAGAGTTCTGAGCTGCCCTTTTCAGCCAGGTTACTCAGTCTGCCTACCCCATTGCAAAGTCAGGTCTTCACATGCCATGCTAGGTTGCTCCTTATGAGGAGACCAGGAGTTTCATGTTGCAGATTTATGCTATTTGATGTCTAAATTACTTTTAAAACTACTGAAGTCTGGATACATGTTCAAAAAAAAATACCCCACCAGTAATCTCAGAAAAAAAATTCACATTTGTATGTATTTCTTTTTATACTCTTGTGGGTATACTTTTTTCCTTTTTTTTTTTTTTTGCAGTAAATGCAACTGTATAGTGTCATGTTTCTCTACACAGTGTCTTGAGCAGTTTCCTATATCAAATACTTTCTTTAAGAAAGATTTTCATATCTTCATAGCCTAAAATTTATGGATGATCCAGTATTTTAATCAGTCCCTGTTGTTAAGAGCGATTTTTTTTTTACAAGTTTATATATTGGAACAGTGCATATACATTCCAGCCATGATATGTAAGATTTTTAGGATATTCCTAGAAATACATTGTCAGATTCCCCTTCAAAAAATGGAAATTCCATCACAAGTGCAGCAGTTTTTTTACTAATGTCATTTCATTATAAGGTTGAGATGCCATAGAAACTTTGCTCGTTTTTATCAATTAGCCTCAGTAAAAATGGCTTTGTTACACATTGTTTATTTATGGTTCCAAGAACCTATTGACAACACAAGTGTGGTGTTAAGGTACATGGTATTAGTCATATATTCATGCTCACTAATGGACAAAATCTCATGTTTTATCCTTGTCTATTTGAAAAAGTAAAAAATAGTAACCCAATTTGTTTTTTTTTCATACTTCTTTTTTTTTTTTTTTTAAAGATTTTATTTATTTATCTTTAGAGGGGAAGGGAAGGAGAGAGGGAGAGAAACATCAATGTATGGTTGCCTTTCGTGCATCCCCTGCTGGGAATTGGCCAGCAGGGAACCTGCCTGCAACCCTGGCATGTGCCCTGACTGGGAATCGAACTGTGATTGTCTGGTTCGCAGGCCCGCGCTCAATCCACTGAGCTACACCAGCCAGGGCCTTTTTCCTACTTCTAACCAGATCTTAATATGTATAATCTGATACAAAACCTTTACCAGACATATGCTTTACAAATATTTTCTCCCAGTCTGAGGCTTATCTACTAACAGCTTTTCGAAGAACAGAAGTTCTTAATTTTCACAAAGTCCACTTTACCAACTTTAAATGTGTTATGCTTCTGGTATCATAATCAAAGGAATCCACCCAACTTAAAGTGACAATAGAAATTTAATAGTTTTCAATGTTTACGTTTAGGTTTGATCCATTTGAATAAGTGTGTGTGATACATATAAAATTACATATGAATCATTGTCCTTGCACCTTTGTCAAAAAATCAGTTGACGCTAACAGCGCTAGTGTCTCTCTCAACTCTTCCATTAGTTTATGTCTGCTTTCATCCATACTGCATTACCTCAACTGCGTAAGCAAGTAATCCAACTTTTTTGTTGTTCTTTTTAAAACTGTCTTGCTATTTCAGTTCCTTTGCCTTTCTGTAGATGTTTTAGAAACAGCTCGTTAACAAACACGGTTTAGATTTTGTGATTATTGCCTTGAATCCATAAGCCAGTTCAGAGAGGGTGGACATTTTAATACTTGTCCTGCGACCCAGGACTGCAGCATATGACTCTGCTAATACAGGTCTCTAATTTCTTCCATCAATGTTCTTTTAGTGTTCTGATCTTGCTCGTATATTATTAGTACCTCAAAGTTTGTGTGTGCTATTGTGTGTTACTTCAGATTTTCAATTTCCAGTTCATTTATAATAACTAGAAATGCAATAGGTTTTTAAATATTGACCTTGTAT